TAAATATATATATACATATATACACACACACACACACACACATATATATATATATATATATATATATATATAGGCCTATATAATTAATCCTGTGGGAAACAATGGATCTTGATTATCAGAATCTAAAAAAAAATAAATTTAAGAGCAAGAAATAGAACCGGACAACACTAGATCTTCCTCAGTGACGAGTGAATAAAGGTAGGAAAATTCAGATAGTTGAGAGGGTGCTTTCCACAACAAGGTAATAGTTAGACATGAATGGTTATAAACAACAGGCTAGAAGAAATTCGGTTACAAATTTGTACTATGAGAGTAAATAAACAAGTGGAAAAAGAGTATAATATGAAAGAGTATAAAGACTGAAAATAGTAGTAAGACGAGCCTACCTGACTGACTGGAGCTGTTATTCATGTTGTTGTATAGAGTATAATAAGCTAACCGTTTGTTTGACCCGAAATGCAAACTGAGAGACCCTCTAGCTTTGGATACAGACATTATAAACCCTCAAGGACACACCCCCTTCAGGAAGCACATTGCGAGGGCGCTATTAATTATCGCATTATTGAGATCGATCTATTGGGCAACGACATTAACGTCATTACATCACTGATCTCGATCACCGGTTAGTTTTTCCTCGAAAATACTTTGTTGCTATTATAGAACATTACAAGTGTGTGAGTACTAGTGGTTTAGTACCAGTGCCCAAAATACGAGCGGTAGGCCTATACCCACAGGTGTGCCAGGATAGTCATATTGCCTGGGGACTGTGCAAAAACGGACTATTTACTGGACTTCTGGTGGTGTGTATGGATCGCAGCTTCGATTTTTTTTTTATTACTATGGCAACTTTAGTGCCGAAACGATAGATTGCTGATTAACAAATATTGTAGATTACATTTTTAATAGTACCGCTGGCGGATCCAGGAATTCGAAATAGAGTTGCCAAGGCGGGGGTAGTGGGATTGATCACAGACCGCAGTCTAGAATCAGTGGACCTTTCGGTTTTTACAAAAACAAGTTCTCGTAATCGCGAAAGCTCCGAAGAGGGCAGTATATAGAGGCAGTAGTATATATATTGGCCTTAACGGCCGTCCACACAAAAAACAATCTATCAATCAATTAGACGAGGACCCTAACGGCCGCCCATACAAAAAAGATATATTAATCAAGATCAATCAGTCGAGATCATCGGAGCTAAAAATCCATAACGAATTGATAACCAACTATAAGGGTCTTTGTTAATTACAGGAAATGCATTATTTACATGTTCGGGCATTTTTTTTTCTCATTCAGATTTTTAATTTTTAAGTTAATATTCTTTTTAGCTCATAAACAGACGGTATTAACCACCAACCATAATATACAGATTAATTAAAATCAAAGCATTCACATCGAATCCAACCGAAATTCGGACCGCGTGTCTGATGCACTGTAAGCCAGTAAGTTGATTTACAGTTTAAATAAACTAATTCCTCCATAGTTTAAAGATGCTAGTATTACCATCAAATAAATCGTTGATATTTATGACGTTCCGAACAGATTGTTGTCTGTATGGGAACGGGAAAAAGTATTGCAAATTATCCGTCACGCGACGGCGGCGCGTTTTTGTTTTAAATTATATTGCAAGTGTACTGATACAATTGCCCCTGCAAAAATTCCATAATTTAAAGTGTGTACGTTTAAAATACACTATTAACGCATTTACATTTAAAAAGGTATTTCATAATATAAGTATGTGATATTACCCATATCGTTAAATAGAATAGTCTAACAAAACTTTCGTGAAGATCGCATGCAAAGTTGAGTAAAAATAACTAAAAATCGTAGGCCTAAATGTAATTTTATATGCAGTGTACTGCCTATTTTTTCCTCAAGTGCACAAAAGTAAAAAGAAAAAAATTAATAACTAAATAACTACTTATAAAATAATTATATAATAAGATGTAAAATTTTGTAAGGCCTAAATGAACAAACTACCGTATAAAATTTTTAAGGCAAATTCAATGAATTGGTTATCTTTATATTTGACTTGCACACGTACAGTACAATACAATGACAAATTATACAAAATGGGCTATTATACAATAAAAAGAGATAAGACCTAAATAAGAAAGTAAGCTTAAAGTGTTAAAGTCACACAATAAAAGTTGTATGTATATAAACTCACATTTGATTCAAGAAAAAAAAATCTTACATACGTCCGTTTTTAGCTCTCGTCCCCCTGACTATAAAATTTAAAGTTGCAAGGTTTGGTCTTCAATTAAATGGTTAGCTTTGTGTTAAATGATTAAAGATTGTTATTTAGTAAAAAGTGGTATCGAATTAGAGGGATCTCGGAATTAGTAGTCGCGAATTGGAGGGTGCTCTGTACACGTAACCGTTTTATGGGGCATAATGAAAATATAATGTAAGGCTACAAAGTGAAAAGTTTTTAGCAAATTGCCTTTAGTATTCAATTTCAGCGGACATAAAATCTGAAGAAGAAATGTGTTTATATTAAGTACGGTAACGTTCTAAATACGTGTTCTTAACTGTGCAACAGAAATGTCGATAGAGGGCCTACTTCCTTTAATGTAATACCGGTATGTTGTATTTATTATTATTATTATTATTATTATTATTATTATTATTATTATTATTATTATTATTATTATTATTATTATTATTATTATATTATTATTATTATTATTATTATTATTATTATTATTATTCCTCTATTTAGGATGATAATACAGATAGGGAAGTTTTGACTTTTTGTTTAAAGTTTAATTCTCAATTGATATAAATATTGACA